GAATATAAGTGTATGTCGTCCCAGTGTGAAACTTTTCAAACGTGCTTAAGAGCGAAAAACAAGCAATCGAATTGAAGACTTCAGGTCTAGTGGTGAGTAAATTACTTTAAAGACCATTTATTTGACGACCACTGGTGCATAATTCAAACTCTTACTGATTCGCTTCTCATATTCACTGAAATGATGTTGAGAAGCTGAGCTAAGTTGAAATCTATAAGACTTATCATTACGTTATCTACACTTTCAGGTTTAATGAAAATGCATCACTAGATAAGATTGAGAATCAAGATTCAATACAAATCTATATTATAAATCCATTATAATTACATCACTTGATGAATTTGGTCATTTGATTAGTTGAAATTGACTGAAAAGAACATGTAATTTACTCACAATTGAATATCTTAATAATTCATAAAATTGTTGTTCGTCTTTTTCACACACACAATTGTTGATAAATATCTTTTCTTAGCTTTATAAGGCAATTAAAATTGATGTATAGAGTCTATAGTTTTATTACTGTGTTATTTAAAAAGATTCAGTATTTGACTGTCTTTCATTGAAATATTACCATTCCGATCTATTTAATACTTCGATTTTGTTTTTTCTAGTAGTACATTTGCTACTGTGATGAATATACATTGGCTAATTTCTTACATTCAACGTTGTTTTTTTATCAGAATGAGTTTTGTGGAGATTTTAAGAAATTTCACAGGTTGAAATCATGAGTCAATTGAAGCTAGACCACCATGGAAAACCTGGAAGCACTGGACGGCTGTTTCGTCCTAGTATGGGACTCCTCAGCAGTGTGAATCAATGTTGTTTTTTTAAAATGTTTTGTTAATGAGTAGTGTAAGAATTTAGACAAATAGATATACAGTATAGAGATTTGTGAAGATTTTATTATTTTCACAATTGAATTCAATAGTCAATTTAAAATATATATCATTACTGGTTTAAAAGTTAAACGTTTGCACTAGAGACTGAAGCACTTGAATTCGAGTCGGACGCATAGGATCGTGTTGTTGTACTAATGAAGAGTCCCCTACTAGGATGAAACAACTGTCCAATACTTTCAGATTATCAATAGTGGTCTAGCTCTTATCAATTCATCAATCCAACTATGAAATATATATATAATTTAATATGAAAATTCGCCCATAACTTGATTTATTTTTATCTGATTCTATACTTCAACCTTATGATAAACAAAGTAATTATCTTTCATGATTTCTTCTTCCTCTTCTTCTTCTTCTTCAAAAAAAGCAAAAAATCATAATTTTGAATAATTATCTATGACAATATAAATAATTGCTGATTTAATTTAGATATCAGATTTTCCATATTAGTCTAGCTTCAGTTGACTTATGATTTCAACTATTGGAATTACTATAATTTCCACACACACACACACACACACACACACACACACACACACACACAAGAACACCCCTTCTGATAGTAATTTAAATATATATAATAATTTATTGAAATAGAGTCTCTTCATCAATAGGCAACATTAAAAAGAAGACACAAAGAAACTTAGATAATATATTCATTTACTATTATAATCTAGATAAAAATACAAACAATTAGGTAATAATGGTTGAAATCATGAATCGATCGAAGCTAGACTACTATGGAAAGCCTGGAAACACTAAACGGGCGTTTCGTCCGAGTATGAGACTCTTCAGCAGTGCGCATCCATGATCTCACCCCCTGCGCGATTCGAATTCAGGACCTATCAGTGAGAAACCGTGGACAGTGGCGTTCAACCAGCTCACTGAAGACAATGGTGGGAGGTGGCCTAGTTCCGCGGATTGGCTGAAGTTGGATATTAACACCGTTGGATACTGGCCGGCTCAATGGTGTAATGGTTGAGCGCTCGCGCACGAGACTGATTGGTCCTAGGTTCGAATCTCATGGGGGGCGGGATCGTGGATACACACTATTGAGGAGTCACACAATAAAACGAAACGACCTTCCAATGCTTCCAGGTTTTCCATAGTGCTCTAGCTTCAATTGACTCATGATTTCAACGATTTAAATGACTAAAATCCCCACAAAATCTCTTCTGAAAGTAATAATAATTGAAAAATATTTTTTAAACAAAAAAATTTCATATGACACATAGTGAATTCAGTAACTGGAATGACAGAAACCATTTCATAAATTTACAAAAAAGAAGTATATTCTATTGTATATTTGAAAAGAAAACAAGAAAAAAACACTGACCTCGTTTCAAATAAAAGAAAACAAATAAATATAAATTAATATCAGAAAATGGTTTTTGTGGATATTATAGTAATATTTTTAATAGTTGAGTTCATGATTCAATTGAGGATAGACCACAATGGAAAACCTTGAAACACGAGATAGCCGTTCCGCTCTATTGTGGGACTCGTCAGAGATTGAATAATCATCTATAAAAATTAATAATCATATACCTACTAGTAAATGACTCTAAGGATTGATTCTAGGAGTTATCCACTTCATACAATGTAAGAAGTCCACATAATATCGTGAAATTATGACAGTTGAGCATATACACTATCGGGTTCTGAATCTGTTGATTAAATGTTAAAGATTTGCTAATACTCCTATAGGTCTTGTGATTGTCGATATATACTGCTGATGAATTCTATTTTAGTCTAACACTACTGTTTAATGCTTCCAGGATTATAGTGGTGATCTAGAGAAGATCATTTCATGATTTCAACTATGAAAATTCTTCCATCTCCAATAACCACACTACACTTAAAAATGGCTATTTATTTTCGTTTATAAAATATGATTGATTTATGTTATTTAGATTAAACTTAGACCTGTGAATGCGTTTACCATTGATTTGATCACCACAAACAATTACTGTGTTAACCATGGCTCAAAATAGATTTTGATGGAGTTTTGTTCGATGAACTAAATGGTTTGGTCATGAAGCTTTCATCGTTCCTCTGAACGACATAATCAGCATAAACTTCAAATAGACTTCTGCCAAACTATTCAGCCCAGAGAACAAAAATCTATCACAATCATCTACCTAAGCTACAAATCTCCAACAAATTTCAATTTTATCAAGTTGAAAGAATAATCAATCAAATATTAGACATAAATGCAACATGTAACCATGATCTGTCAATCTTTAGCCAAACCGATTCATAATTTAAAAAAACAATTCGATTAAAGATCAATATGTACTCTAATTCATGTCATAACAAACTGTATATCTGCTACTACTCATCAGTGCATACCTACGATCGATTGAAATAAAACATTAACACCTTTTGATTTCGGCTTAGTGGTCTAGAGATTAAACGTTTACGCGCGAGACTTGAATGCCCTGGATTTGAGTCCCATGTATGGGATCATGGTTGCTCACTGATCAGTAGTCTCATACTAGAATAAAATGGCTGTTCAATACTTCCAGGTTTTCCATGATGGTCTAGCTTATATTGACTCATTAATTCAACTCTTAAAATTATTACGATCTCCACAAGTGTCCATTCTGATAAAAATCCATTTTGTTTTAAAGTCAAGGAATGTAAAATATCGATTACTTCCTGTTACATTTCATCTAATTTTAAGTACATTCATAATGATAGTTTTACAACAAGAAAACCGTAAATTTTTGAAACATCAAAATGAAAAGTCACCGATTCGTTGGTTGAGTATATTTACTTTTTTTAAATATTAATCTGAATAGCCTTGTTATTAATCTTGCTATAACTATGGAAACTGAACTTGAAACAGAAAAAAAATTGTAATATGAAAAGGTTGACAAATGTAGATTTGATTTACATTCCAAAAATGCGATAATATTCAGTTGTTTTTTTAAATAGTTGAATTCATCAGTTGATGTAAGCTGGACTACCATGGAAAACTTGGAAACACTGGATGGCCATTTCGTCCTATTGTGGGACTCAGCAGTGTGTATCCACGATCTCACCCCCCGTGAGATTCGAACCCAGGACCTACCAGTCTCTCACGCGAGCGCTTTTAAGGAGATTTTAATAATTTCAATAGTTCAGATCATGAATCAATTGAAGTTGAATGTACACGGCTGAGGAGTCCTATATTAGAACGAAACGGTCGTCCAATGTTTCCACGTTTTCTATGGTGGTCTAGCCTTATTTAACTCATTATATTAACTATTGAAATATAAAAAATTATCAATGAAATTCTTAAAATTTTAGTTGATGATGCAAGAAATGAGATTTATTATTGCACACTAGGAATGTTATGTATTCGTAACAATGAAATGAACATTGGAAAATCTGTTAGTATTTATGAATTCATTACATTTATTCTTGATATCTTTATGGTACTTTTCTCCAATCTGAAGTGTTCCTAGTAATTGTATTTTAAGCTCACTAGTTATCAGGTCAGCTTCTATTTTCGCGGTTTAGGTAGCAGTGAACAGGCGTTTGATCCCGCTACGGGACTCCTCAATAGTATTTATCCAGAAAATCATTGGTGATTGAACTCAGAATCTTCAGGACTCGCAGTGAACGACTAATCTTTAAACCATTCACTCAATATACAAACACTCGGTGATATTACGCAATCTTTTATTTCCTGCAGTGAATAACTGTCTTAAACCAGACATTGTTAAAGTTCACTGATTATAGATTCTCATTAAAATTCCTAAAATCACTTCTTAGAGTTATGATTATTAACTTCTGCAGGTTGTTTGTGATATGAGTTGAATGTTTTCAGTTTACATCATAGACTGATCTTATTTAAACAACAATTGAAAACTAGGAAACATGAGACAGATTTTTTTTGTACTAGTATACAAGTTAGATTTTTTTGATTGTTTATCTCTATAATTTTATCTTGTTACTATCATAATGTATAATCTATTATTTACTGAATGGTATAATACAATTCAATGTGAATAACATGGAAGATAGATCATGCAAACCGGTGTTCATGTTATGTAATTTATGTATTTAACTTTCATGTTTTGTTTTTTTTTGTTTTTTGTATGGACATTTTAGATATCTGATACATCTACATGTTTACCTTCCAATTTATTTGATGATATAAAACCTGAATTAGAAATATGGTCCAATTTATTTAATACCTCAGAAATTGTTGTAGATACTGCTAGAGAAATTTCTACACAATTAAATTTATTAAGTACATTAGAAGAGGATGATATAAAAGAAGAAAGAAATGAATGGAAAGAGAAAGTAGAAATTAATATTGAAAAACAAGCAGAAAATAAAAAAGACAATGAAGTAAATCAAACAGATCATGATCAATATGATAAGAATGATAAACAATTAGTTGATTCAAGAAGTCATATATTTATAACAACACTTGAAAATGAAAAACTAAATGCTTTAAAAGACAATGAAGTAAGTTCCTTTCAATTAAAGACTTCTATTGTGTATATTATTTTCAAAGCTTCTCAATCAGACCCTACTTACTTACATATAATCAAATGAAGTTTAGCAATCCCTCACTTCTAAAAATATGTTTGAATAGACTTTATAGTACTTACAATAAGGAAACCTTTATGATCTTTTCAGAAACGTATCGTAGATGGTATCAGTAACACACTGGTTAATTCTGACAGATTGAAAAACAGAGGTAAAAGTAAACCAGTATTTAGCTATTTGTTTGAATGATTTGACAATACAACGTTTTTGTTTCATTCCTGTAGCATATCGTTTTAAGTGTAATCCTTTTATGTCAATGTATACGTCGATAGTAGATGCTTAATTTTGTAGACGAATTTATGTACCAACTGCTGATCATCATATTTACAATACAATAAAGAGTAAAAAATTCATTAAGTATTAATCATATAATCACAAACTTTTACTCAATACCTAGATTATGCCCGAAAAAGATGGTAAATTTTAATGTATAGATCACAATATTATCGATAATAAGTATACTTAAAGTAATGCTTAATGATTAGAATGAGCACCTATAGAAAGATTACATCAAATAACTTGATTTTTTGAGAGATTACATCAGAAACATATTCTAGCAAGTTACTGATATCTTAGCTTCTGTGAATATATATATAATATGGATGTTGATTAACGGTCAAGTGTCTAATCATCATCCAATCACTAATAACCTATTTCAATATGAATTACTATATGTATTAGGTAGGGCAAAATGTGATCTATGGAATTTAGCTTCACCGTTGGTGTTCGATGTTAGCTATGCAAAAACTAGTAATATAAACTAATGAATTTCAACTCATTAGATCATTGAGAGAATTCATAGGCGTACGTTTCAATTGCTTTGAGTTATCAGTAAACATTTCTGATAGATCCGAAGTTACATTGAAACTACAATTTACTATAATTCGATTTTTATTGATTTTCCATTGATTTTGTAATTTGTAGTAAAAGTTCCCTTTGAAAAGGTGGTTTTCAGAGAAAATTAATTATTTATTGGAAGAAAGATTGTCAATTCCAAGAGCATGTATCTACTTTTACTTATCATAGGTAACATACATTCATTTTAAAGGATAAAACTAACTATGTAGAAAGTTTCAAGCATGAAAACACTTTTAAGTTCACCTTAAACTGATAAACACTCACGTTCTATTATGGCATAAAAATGGGCTATTGAAGTGAACAAAAGTAACTTGATGTTTAGAATAATTTGTTCAGAGTATTAATTTAGAGGTAGATTTTTCATTAAATATGAAGTTTATAGAATAAATGCATTTACTAACATGTAGTTTCTGTTTTCACTTATCAATTCAAAATATTTTTGATAAACCATTCTAGACATAGAGGTTTTTGTTTATGACGTCTAACTATTTAACATCAATATTAGTGATCACCAAGCAGACAATACGTAATAGACGGAAATGTAAAAGTTCGAAACTTTGTATAGAATAAAAGGGATGTGGTTAGCAGAGTAATCCATGATGCACGTCTCACTCTATTTAGAATGCATCAGCTGGATATACTATTATCCCAGAATTGATGTCCACTCTAGGAATCGAACACAGTGCCGTTTACTTTAATGCCACCGAGTGATTGGCTATCTGGACTCACTAGCTAAGTGAATAAAATGTATGATTTTCATATTCTATAAAGAAATTCTGTAATTTTATATTAAACAGTAAATTGTTTTTCCCCTTCTGAGTTCTCATTCCCTACAATTTCAGATAGCTTTTGTCATGAGTGCTTGTTCGTTAAAAAAAAAGTAAATCAACTTTACTGTACAATTTCTAATGTAATATGAAAAATTAATTTGATTAAACTAAAACATGACAGTCATTCTGTAGTGAACAAGAATACGAGTAGAGACAATCGAATGCATCTAAACACGAAATCACAGAACACCACACTAAAATTTGAGAACCATAGAGTAAATAGTTAATTTGCAAAATATTAGTTCATCGTCTCAAACTTGACTGTTTCTTTTGTTTATATCAGTCCGCCCTCAAATGCCCTGGTACGGCCGAGAGTGGTGAGAGTTCGCTCTCCCTCTCGAAATGCTCTCACATGTCCACGCGTATATAGCCTTTGCCAGGGAATTCCTACTCTCTGCCTTCTCGTGATGGGGGTGTTGTTTAAGAAATTGAGAGGACGAAATGCGAATGTCCGACGCTTTAACCGTGTTGGTGGACATGAAGAGTCCACCTAGGGGAGTTGGATAACCTTGATTCCAGATCAATGGTGCACATGGGCTCCAGTATCCTGAGGGTACAAATGGCGTATGAACCAGTCGTTGGTCACTGGCTACCGTGGGACTACATCTCCTTACGATGCTCCATTGCCTTGTAGATCAGACCTTCAGGTCGAAGAATCGAGGAGTGACCTCCTAATATAGCCACTTGCCTCGGTTTGGGCACCCGGGCAGTATCACAGCCTTCACACATATCAAATGAGATTTGTGTAGCGTATATGTATTTGGTGCCTCCTTGTATTAATATCTGTGTTAAAATAATAATATATCAGTCCATCGGTTCAGATTTCATTAGTCATGCATTTTCATACCAATTTGCTTTCTGTTCCTGTTATTTCTTTCTTTCTCAATCTTCTACTAAAATGCATTCTATTCCTGACTATCATGATATACTACTTGTGTGATTATAAGTAGCTCACACTACAATTTTAAACTGTATAAATACTATTTAACTTCTTATTAAAATATATATGTAACATATTAGACAAATATTCAAGTTACATTATAGATTCTATTTACTTACATTATTTTATATTTTAATATTATACCATGTTGATTTCATCTGTTTCTAACAGATTAGTTTAATGTTTATTAAATTCCCACCAGTATACCCTAGAAACTTAAATAGATTGATTTAAGTTCTTTATTTATTTATTTATTTAAATGTTCCGTTTTTATGTGCGTGTATGAAAGATAAACAAAATTATACTAGTAGTATGTTCATTCATACTTTAATTTTAATGGTATATCATTTCTTTTTTTTAAAAAAAACAATAATTCAGAGGGGAAAAATGGGTGAGAAGGGGAAGAAGTTAGTAAAACAGTAAAATGAACCAGATAAAAGACAAGATCAGTTTCATAAGTTTTTTTTTTAAAAAAAAAGATAAACTTGACATAAAAATTGATTATTTGTGTTTAAGAGGGGTTTTGTAAAGATTTTAGTCATTTCATTAGTTGAGATCACGAGACAGTTGAAGTTAGACCACTATTGAGAACCTGGAAGCATTAGACGGTCGTTTCGTCCTATTGTGGGAATCCTTAATGGTGCGCATTCAGCTTTCATTGGCTCATGATCTGAACTATTGAAATTATTAGAATCTTCACAGAAACCATTGTGATATTAATCAACATATACTTACTAGTGACTGACTTCAAGAGGTATTTCTTGGAGTTCTAGTGAGAAGCAGTGACCAGTGGAGTTCAACCAGGTCTGTTGTAAGATAGTAATTCACTGAAGACAATGGTGAACTTGTTGCTCACTTTTGTGGATTAGTTGAAGTTAGAAATTAACACCGTTGGTTAAGTGCTCGCGCGCGAAACCAGAGGTCCCTGGATTCAAATCCTGCAAGGCGGGGTCGCACATGCACACTGTTGAGGAGTTCCACAACAGGACGAAACAGATATCCAGTGCTTTCAGTTTTTCCATTGTGGTCTAGCTTCAATTGACTCATGATCTCAACTATTTCACTTTATTTTTCTTATTATTATTTTTAAAATGGTCACATTCACTAGGGAAGAAAAAAGAAACACAACAGTAAATAGAAGTTATAATTTCTAATATGAATCCACTAATAGAATCAACAAAATCATATTCACTTGATGTAGGATGACTTTTTTTTATCTTAAACAAATAGTTAATTAGTAAGATGTTAATTTTAGAAATTATTTATCAGTTAATTTACTTTCAAAGTATACTAATTAAATATTTAATTGGGTTTTTTTCTTCAATATCTTAGTTGTTTAATGTAATATATCTATGATTCGTTTGCAGTAAATAGATGTAATATATATACTTGGTATTATTTGTTTGTATATTCCCATTGATATTTAAAACTTCAATTGATCAGTCTCGTATTGAAATATGTGTATAGTGTGCGTATTGCCTTAATTCACAAGCATTATAAGTAAAGATGGATAGTGGTTAGTAATGTAATAGAGGACACACATTTCGTCCCATCTGGGACTAGTCAGCTAGATGTACTCGCACAGGATGCACATATACCAACAAGAGATTGATCAATTGTAGTCCTAAATCACAATAGGAAGATACAAGTCAACAATATCAAGTGAATTTAAACTTCACCCCATTGCACAAGCAAGTGACTATTAGGACTCAGTAACTGAATGAACAACGCGATGGTGTGTGAGGTGTACGATATTGGGTTTGATTCCCGGAGTGAAAGTCAGCTGTGTAATGCAGGTACATGCAGCTGACGAGTCCCAGATAGGACGAAGTGCACGTCCTGGATTCCACTATTGATCACTATTCATCCTAACTTATAAGTTACATATATACATATATTTTACCACCACTGAATTAACCAATTCTATGAATCCGGTGTTCATCTTATTGTGCTAATGAGATATGAAAACTTGGACCGATGCACATATGTGCCTCGTCTTACGCTGTAGGTGACTGACTGGTATATGTAGAATAAAATAGACACATATAGATCACAACGAATCTCATTTCCCTTCATCTTTTATAACATAAACTATTACTACTACTATAAATGTAACGAATAGACAATAGTAATTTCTGGATTCATCAAAATAAAAAAAAACTTATTTTATAAATTAACTTTATTGATTTTAAATTCAATTTGGATTTCGTTTGAACAACACCAAAAAGACTACATTTCTTGTTATTCATTTAAACTTAGCACCTAGTAACTGAATTAATAGACTACGT